AAGAAGAATATCATAACATTATTAACATGTGCCATTCATCTAATTGTGGAGGACATTTCTCTGGACGAAAAATAGCTTGAAAAACTTTTCAGTGTGGTTTTTATTAGCCTACAATCATTAGAGATTCTATAGAATTTAGTAAAACATGTATTTCATGCCAATCCATAGGTAACATGAGTAAAAAAGATGAAATGCCCATGAGTAACATGTTAGTAGTCAAAATTTTTGATGTATGGGGAATAGATTTCATAGATCCCTTCCCATCAGCTGAAAAATATGAATATATTTTGCTTGCTATTGATTATGTGTCGAAGTGGGTGGAAGCTATTCCTAATAGAACTAATGATCATAAAATCGTGATGAAATTTGTGTAGGAAAATATTTTTCGAAATTTGGATGTCCTAGAGTGATTATTAGTGATGGAGGAATATATTTTACAAATGAACATTTCAGAAAATTGTTGAAAAAAAATAGAGTACACCATAGAGTAGCCACTCCATATCATCCCCAAACAAATGGGCAAGCTGAAGTAGCAAATAGGGAAATTCAGATAATTTTGAGAAAAATAGTTAGACTAGATAGGAAAGATTGACCCAAAAAATTACAAGATGCATTATGGGCTTATAGAACAGCTTATAAAAATCCCATAGGTATGTCCCCATTTCATCTCATTTTTGGAAAGTCATGACATCTTCTTGTGGAAATAGAGCATAAAGCATAATGGGCTATAAAAAATATATGTATGGATGAAAAATTAGCTGGTGGGCATAGAATTTTTCAACTACATGAACTAGAGGAGTTGAGGAATGAAGCTTATGAAAATCATAGAATATATAAAGAAAAAACTAAAACTTTTCATGATAAATACATTAGTAGAAAAAAAATTGATGTTGGACAAAAAGTATGGTTATATGATTCTAGGCTGAAATTATTCCCAAGAAAATTAAAATCAAAATGGACAGGGCCTTATGTGGTGGAAGAGACATATGATCATGGGGCTGTAATGATTAAAGATCCTAAAAGTTACCATAACTTTAAGGTAAATGGACAGTGACGTGACTTAGTCGTTGTATATTAAATCACGCAAATATAAAATTTATAAAACTAGAAAATACAAATTTTTAGATATCTAGAAGTATTTCTGAATAAATATATCAATTATAATTCAATAAAAGTTCGAAAAATAGCAGTAATTTTCCAGGTCGATCACAGGGATGTAATATAATATCTGGTAATTATTCAAAATTTTCCTTAGAGAATACTATTTTATGTGAATTTTATACTAAGAAATGAAAAGGAAATATATTTAAAATTTACGAAAAAAGGAAATAAGGGTGCAGACGTCAGGATGACATCAGCGCCCGGTGAATGCAAATCGGGCAGAAATAGAGTTCCGCTGGTGATTCTTACGTAAGTGATTACAGACGATTTAATTAATCAAATTAAGATCTGTAAAAGCCGAAAGAATCGTAATAGAACAAAGTATATTTTGGTAAATTAAAATCAGAAAATTTATCACTAAATGAAGCGTAAAGTAAGTTAAAAACAAGAAAACAGAGTTCTGGCGTCGCGACGGCGATGCGTTGGCGATGCACTGGAATCTTGAGCATTCGGGAGGATCGTCGTGCAGTGTCCACAGCCTCGAAGGCTCTCTTTGGACAAAGACGACGTGGGCAATCTCTAGATCTTCTCGCGAAGTCTAGAGATTAATGAAATGGGTCGTTGAATCGTCTCCGGCGACTGTCACCTGGCGGAGTGGAAAAATGGCGACTTCGAGGGCTCTCTGGTGGCTGTCACTCGACGGAGAGGAGCTAGATGGAGGTGGGGCGTGTGTCAAGGAGCTTCATCCTCAGGTCTACTGATAAGTCTTCATTATCATGAGTTAATAATTAGTAAATAATATAGTTTTAGTCTTAACTCATGATAAATAGACTTATATTTGTGTTAAAGTGTGAAAAGTGGTTTTCAGTTGATGAATGTGAATTTTTAGGTAATTATGTGATTTTACATGAATTTATATGATTTGTATAGTCTTGCTTTTGAGATAAATGAAGAAAAAGAAATAAAAATAAGACAAAATGAGTGGGGACCCGCCAGCCAGCCGGGCCTGCAAGCGGGTCGGAAGCTCAATCAGGGAGGTGGTGACTCGTCTCCCGGCGGATTGTCTTCTTCTCGATGACGGCTTGTTCGTCGATCAATCGGAGATGATTTACTCGACGGATTCGCGATTCTTTTATCGCGAATCGTTCAGCAATTTTAGTAGCAATGCTCCGCGAATCGCATTGACGAGATTTTCGCCAATGATCCAGCGATTCTCGTTGCTTAATCCTTCACTGGCGATCTGCAGGAAAGTCACGATAATCAGATAAAAATATATGAATTTTGACTCTGGGAGGATTCGAACCCACGCCGGTTGTCCGCCCCTTTTGAGGAAGGTGTGACGCGGGTTTAGTCCCACATCGGTTGTGCGCCGATTTTTCGGGCGAATATATAGTAATGTTAGCTTTTTAAGCAAAGTTCCTTCTCTCGCGTGTACGACCACTCCTTGCCCCACAGCCGGCTGGCCACCGGTGACATGGAAGGGGAGTGGCGCACACGTGCCCCTATTGGTCCAAGCCGCTCAAGCCCCTGCTCGCGGCTACTCCCCGACTGAGCTTCTGACCTGCTTGCGGGCCCGGCTGGCCGGCGGGTCCCCACTCATTTTGTCTTATTTTTATTTCTTTTTCTTCATTTATCTCAAAAGCAAGACTGTAAAAATCATATAAATTCATGTAAAATCACATAATTACCTAAAAATTCACATTCATCAACTGAAAACCACTTTTCACACTTTAACACAAATATAAGTCTATTTATCATGAGTTAAGGCTAAAACTATATTATTTACTAATTATTAACTCATGATAATGAAGACTTATCACACCCCCAACTTAAATCATTGCTAGTCCCTTAGCAATGGAATTACGAAAATAAAAATTTACAAATCTCAAACATCATATTTTAATACAAAAAAAATAAAAATACAATTAGAAATGATGCACCTTTAGACACTTTGGACTCTTATATCAAGTCTTTAAGAATGATCTCAAGCACTTAAATGTTTAAGCACTCCTTGGAATAACAATCTAGACTTCACTTCTTTTATTCACATCTTTATCACTTCTTCACTCATAGACATATTTACAAGATGTTCCAACTATCAATAATCATCCAAGAATAATATTGATCCTACATTTCCCTTTTTCCATGGCTTGATTTTTGAAGTTTGCACTATATTTCTTCCTTCTTTTATAGTGGATAAGTATCTTTTCCTGTAGACAAATTTCGACAATGAGAATGATGTCTCACACCCTCCATGTGTACTCTTAATTTTCAGGGCTTTCACTTTATCCACTTATTTTGCAGCAAGTGTTTTTCTATACACGATTTTTGACAATGAGAATGATGTCTCACACCCTCCATGTGTACTCTTCATTTCTAGATTTTTCACATTGCTCTCTCTCTTTTTTTTTTCGAAATAAGTGATTTCTCCTCACAAGTCTTATAGATCAAGATGCAAAAATCTCCATTAAACTCAAATGAACAATCAAATTTTCACATCAAGTAAATACTATCCATCAAGATCATGAAGTGAAAATCTGTAAAATCAAATCCATGTTATCTATCATGTATCCAAGGAGTATTCCAACATTTCATGCTACTAGATCATTCTTTTGACTCAATAATAATCTTCCTAGTATCTTTTGGTATCAATTAATCTAATTGATTTAATTTTTCATGCATGCAATATGATGTAAGAAATTTTTAAATTAGATAGTTCTGACAGTTCTGATTTCTGTTTTCAGTTCTATTTTTAGCAACAATAAATTTGTCAAAAATAAATCAAAACTATCCGTTTTATAGCTCTAATTTTGAATTTCAGTAATATATGTCTAAGGGATTGAAATGTGAGAAAAGGGTCTCTAGAATTTCAAATTTCGGGCTGTTTTTGGTCTGCTATTTTTGACAGTCTGTTGTTCCTGACAAAAATCCAGAAAATAGATGTTGCAGTTTTTTCAAATTTTATTTTATTTTTTATTTTTTCAGTTGCTGTTCTAATGCAAACACATGTTCTTAATCGTCCTATAGCATAAATTAATAATGAATACTTCACCCCCCAACTTAAAAATGACATTGTCCTCAATGACACAGAAAACTCGAAACAAAATATGCAGAAAATATAATTTTCAAGTGAAGCATGCATATATGCAAAGTTAAGCATTAAAAATGTTGTCATAAATGATAAAGCTCAGAAAGACATCACCTCAACCTCGTTTTTAATTTTTCACTTCATCTTACACTCCTCCTCCTGCACTTTTTCGAAAAAACAAATACAGAAATAAGTACTGCGAAATTATAAGAAAAATAGAGCTTAAAAAAAAATTCGAATAGAATGAAATAAAAACCATGGGTTGCCTCCCATGTAGTGCTGCATTTAATGTCTCCAGCTGGACTCCTTGATCTTACTCTTGAATTTCTTTTAATAATAAAATTTCTTTTTCTGCAAGGCGTTCATGTTCTATGTAATGTTTAAGCCGTTGTCCATTTACCTTAAAGTTATGATCACTTTTAAGATCTTTAATCGTTACAGCCCCATGATCATATGTCTCTTCCACCACATAAGGCCCTTTCCATTTTGATTTTAATTTTCCTGGGAATAATTTCAGCCTAGAATCATATAACCACACTTTTTGTCCAACATTAATTTTTTTTCTACTAATGTATTTATCATGAAAAGTTTTAGTTTTTTCTTTATATATTCTATGATTTTCATAAGCTTCATTCCTCAACTCCTCTAGTTCATGTAGCTAAAAAATTCTATGCCCACCAGCTGATTTTTCATCCATACATAAATTTTTTATAGCCCATAATGCTTTATGCTCTATTTCCACAAGAAGATGACATGGCATTCCAAAAATCAAACGAAATGAGGACATACCTATGGGATTTTTATAAGCTGTTCAATAAGCCCATAATGCATCTTGTAATTTTGTGGGCCAATCTTTCCTATCTGGTTTAACTATTTTTTTCAAAATTCTCTGAATTTCTCTATTTGCTACTTCAGCTTGCCCATTTGTTTGGGGATGATATGGAGTGGCTACTCTATGGTGTACTCCATTCTTTTTCAACAGTTCCCTGAAATGTTTATTTATAAAATGTGTTCCTCCATCACTAATAATCACTCTAAGACATCCAAATCTCGAAAAAATATTTTCCAGCACAAATTTCATCACGATTTTATGATCATTAGTTCTAGTAGGAATAGCTTCCACCCACTTCGACACATAATCAACAACAAGCAAAATATATTCATATTTTTCAGCTGATGGGAAGGGACCCATGAAATCTATTCCCCATACATCAAAAATTTTGACTACTAACATGTTACTCATGGGCATTTCATCTTTTTTACTCATGTTACCTATAGATTGGCATGAAATACATGTTCTACTAAATTCTATAGAATCTCTAATGATTGTAGGCGAATAAAAACCACACTGAAAAATTTTTGCAGCTATTTTTCGTCTAGAGAAATGTCCTCCACAGTTAGATGAATGGCACATGTTAATAATGTTATGATATTCTTCTTCAGAAACATCTCCTTAAAATTTGATCATTGCCCAAGTAATATAAATCAGGATCATGCCAAAAATAATTTCTAATCTTAGAAAAGAAATGATGTTTTCTATTCTTATCCCACTGGTCTGGAGTTTTTCTAGAAACCAGAAAATTAACAATATGTGCATACCATGGTGATGGTTGATGTTGAGCTGCCATCAATTGTTCATCTGGAAATGCATCTTATAAAGGTGCTGCATTTATTCCTGTATCACTTAATCTAGAAAGATGGTCAGCAACAACATTCTCGAAACCTTTTTTATCTTTTATTTCTAAGTCAAATTCCTGCAACAATAAAATCCATCTTAATAAATGTGGCTTCGCATCTTTCTTATTTAACAGATATTTAAATGCTGCATGATTAGTATAAATAATAATTTTAGCTCCCAAAATATATGATCTAAACCTTTCTAACGAAAATACTACAGCTAACAACTCTTTTTCAGTCGTGGTATAATTTAATTGAGCATCGGATATAGTTTTACTAGCATATGAAATTACTATGGTTTTGACTCTTTTATTTGTCCTAGAACGGCCCCCACTGCATAATTTGATGCATCACACATTATTTCAAAGGGAAAGGACCAATCAGGAGCTTGTAAAATGAGTGCCTCAGTAAGTAATCTTTTTATTTCAGAAAAAGACTCAAAACATTTCTCATCAAAATTATAAGGCACATCTTTAGATAATAGCATGGTGAGAGGTTTAGAAATTTTTGAAAAATCTTGAATAAATTTTCTGTAATAACCTGCATGACCTAAGAAAGATCTAATCTGTTTTACTGAATTTGGAGGTTTCATTTTAGATATAATATCAATTTTTGCTCTATCCACCTCTAAACCCCTTTTACTCACAATATGACCCAACACAACTCCCTCTTTAACCATAAAATGTGATTTCTCCCAACTCAAAACGAATTTTTTCTCTATGCATTTCTCAAGTACATGCTGTAAATGATTTAAGCATTCATCAAATGATTCACCAAAAACAAAAAAATCGTCCATAAAAATTTCCATGCATTTTTCAATCATATCAGAAAAAATAGACAGCATATATCTTTGAAATGTGGCTGGAGCATTACACAGACCAAAGGCATGCATTTAAAAGCAAAAGTACTAAATGGACAAGTGAAAGTTGTTTTTTCTTGATCTAAAGGGTTTATATAAATTTGATTATAACCAGAGTATCCATCTAGAAAACAAAAAAAGTTTTTTCCAACTAATTTTTCTAGAATTTGATCAGTAAATGGTAGGGGAAAATGATCTTTTCTAGTAACTGAATTTAATTTTCTATAATCAATGCAAACCCTCCAACCAGTAGTTAATCTTGTTTGTATTTCATCCCCATTTTTGTTTTTTATAACCGAGATCCCTGATTTTTTTGGCACTACTTGTGTAGGACTAACCCATTTGCTATCTGAAATAGGATAAATAATATCAGCAGCCAGCCACTTTAAAATTTCTTTTTTTACAATTTCGATCATGTTAGGATTTAATCTTCATTGTGGTTCCCTGCTAGTTCTAGCCCCCTCCTCTAGATATATACTATGCATGCATACACTCATATCAATGCCCCTTAGATCGTCCATTTTCCAGCCCATAGCCTTCTTATTTTTTCGAAGTACATCTAATAATTCTTCTTCCTGTTCATCACTCAAATCAGCTGCAATAATAATAAGAAATGAATTATTTTCCTCCAAAAACATATATTTTAAACTAGAGGGAAGAGGTTTCAACTCTAAATTCAGATGATCTTTCTCTTTCTTTTCTCCCAAATTTATATTCTCTATTTCCTCTAATTCTTCCAGCACACAGTCATCAATAACATCTGGAGCATCAAAATCGTCTAGAAGATCTATGGTATGACAATAATATACTTGGGATTTCTTAAGATCATTTGGTACCTCAAAAATTTTAATTTCTACTAATTGATCTCCACATGAAATTTTCGTAATACCTGTGGGAAAATCAATATTCATCTTTGTTGTATGCAAAAATGGTCTCCCTAGGATGATTGGTGTATCATAAAACTATCCATTAAAATCCATTTCCAGCACTACAAAATCAGCTAGAAATTTACACCCTTTAACTGTTACTATCATATTTTCTAAAATACCTTCAGAATGTTTTATGGATCTATCAGCAAATTGTAAGGTAACAGTAGAAGGTTTAAGATCAGAAATATTAAATTTCTCACAAATACTTGCAAGTAATAAATTAATACTAGCACCGGTGCCAAGTAATGCATTCTGAAAAATGGATCCACCAATATCACACGAAATTAAAGGGGCACCTGTATCTCTCAATTTATATGGTAATTGATTTAATAATAATGCACTAGCATGCATAGATAATTTTTCTACTCTAGGTGCCCTTTTTGGTGTACACATTTCTTTCAAAACTCTAGCATATTCAGGAATATGTTCAATGGTAGTGAGTAAAGGAAGACTAATTTGCACATCTTGTAAAATTTTCTTTATTTCTTCATTGTGTTCCTTTTTCTTTCTTTGTCTAGGCTCTAGAGCTTTAGGAAATGGAATGGTTGTCCTCTCTTTCGAAATTTCCTTGGTAGGATCTATAAAATCCTCTTCTACTCCTATTTGATTTTGTTTTGGGTTGTCCACGTTTTCTTTTTCTTCTAATGTTTGGGGATAAGGATCAAGTAAGATCTTATCACTCCTTAATGCATTCACTGTCCTAACATTTTCATTTCGTGGGTTTTTTCCTAGATTCATGCTACTAGACTCCCCTTGCTAAAATCCTATTGTTGGGCGGTTCCCTGGATTTTCTATGGGCTGACTAGGTAGCTGTCCCTCTTCTCTCTTATTCCCAAGGGCCTCTATAATTTATTTCTGGTGCTGCATCATTTGATTCATAGTTTGTTGCATCATTTGGCTCATTTGCTGCATCATTTCCATAGTATCAGGTTGGGTTTGAGAGGGCTGATTTTTTTGAAATCTATTTTCTTATTTTGGATGAAATTCAGAGTTTGAATTGGGTCTAAGTGCTTCTGGATTTTGAATATTATTTGGGTCTCTCCATGAAAAATTATTCCTCCAATTAGGATTATAAGAATTTGAAAAAGGTTCCGTATTTCTATTAAAATCGTGAGCTACTTGCACTTGTTCTTGCTTAGGGTGAAATGATTGATCTAAATTATAACATTGAAATTATGAATAATCATTCTCACCATACATAGGACATGTACTATTTGAATTAAATTGAGGGTTAAGAGGTTTTCTAATATTGTCAATAAGTAAATCAAGTTTTTTTAATCTTTGATTAATCTGATTAACCTCATTTCTAAGTTTAGAATCATCATCATGATGCAATTCATAAATTCCTCTCTTCTTATCCTTGTCATATAATTCAAAAGAGGCTTGATCTCTAGAATTTTCACTTAAATTCTCATAAAGACTGTAAATCTCATCAGGGGTTTTCTCTATAAAAGCTCCTCCACATATAGAATCAACTATATTTCTATGTTGTTCTAATAATCCATCATAAAAAATTCTATTGAGCTGCCACTTGGGTATAGCATGATGAGGACACTTTCTAAGTAAATCTTTGAATGTTTCCCATGTCTCATGTAAAGTTTCTCCTGATCTTTGAGAAAAACTCCATATATGTTTTCTCATATTTTGGATTTTTCCTAAGGGATAAAATTTTCGAAGAAAGGCCTGTTCTATGTCTTTCTAGCTAGTTAATTCTCTATCTAATGTGGATAGCCAATGGCTAGCTTTGTCCCTAAGTGTATGAGGAAATAATTTCATCTTAATAATTTCCGGTGTAACTTGAGGGAGATTAACTAAATCACAGACCATATGAAATTTTTCTAAGTGCTGATGAGGCTCGTTGATAAGTCTTCATTATCACGAGTTAATAATAAGTAAATAATATAGTTTTAGCCTTAACTCGTGATAAATAGACTTATATTTGTGTTAAAGTGTGAAAAGTGGTTTTCAGTTGATTAATGTGATTTTTTGGGTAATTATGTGATTTTATACGAATTTATATGATTTTTACAGTCTTACTTTTGAGATAAATGAAGAAAAAGAAATAAAACTAAAATATTGCAAAATGGGGGAGACCCGCCGGCCAGCCGGGCCCGCAAGCGGGTCGGAAGCTCAGTCGGGGAGTAGCCGCGAGCAGGGGCTCGAGCGGCTTGGACCGATAGGGGCACGTGTGCGCCACTCCCCTTCCACGTCACCGGTGGCCAGCCGGCTGTGGGGCAAGGAGTGGTCGTACACGCGAGAGAAGGGACTTTGCTTAAAAAGCTAACATTACTATATATTCGCCTGAAAAATCGGCGCACAACCGATGTGGGACTAAACCCGCGTCACACCTTCCTCAGAAGGGGCGGACAACCGGCGCGGGTTCGAATCCTCCCAGAGTCAAAATTCATATATTTTTATCTGATTATCGCGACTTTCCTGCAGATCGCCGGTGAAGGATTAAGCAACCAGAATCGCTGGATCATCGGCGAAAATCTCGTCAACGCGATTCGCGGAGCATTGCTACTAAAATTGCTGAACGATTCGCGATAAAAGGATCGCGAATCCATCGAGTAAATCATCTCCGATTGATCGACGAACAAGCCGTCGTCGGGAAGAGGACGATCCGCCGGGAGACGAGTCGCCACCTCCTGAGAGCGTACCAGATGCGATGAAGAGCCTCCTCTTGCTGCGCGGACCTGAGGATGAAGCTCCCTGACACGCGCCCCACCTCCATCCAGCTCCTCTCCGTCGGGTGACAGCCACCGGAGAGCCGCAAAGTCGCCG